CAGGGTGGCAACACTATCAGCGACTACTTCGGGCTAGCTCCTCCAAGCCTAAGCGTCTATTTGAACACTAGATAGCTGTAAGCAACACGTTCATTTATTAGAATTCGTGAATACAAAGCGAATCTAGTCTACTTGCCTCCTCTCTTTGATACGGAGCTAGTCCTTGCGGTATACACCGCTCAGTAATTTTACTCATTCCAATATGAGTTGTCGGTTGCGCTCCTCAGACTCATGTTGAGCCCTTTGCATCCGTTCTTCCGCTTGAGATTGCACCAGGGCTCTAGTACGTTCCATTTGCACTGCGTGCTCATGCATCGCACGCTCTAAATTGATGCGATCCTGGTGTTGTTGGAGCTGTGCCTGCATCAGCCGATCAAATTGAAGACGGCGAAGCTCCATATCATCGCGTATCCGCTTATCTTGACGCTCAGCTTCCAGTTGAAATGCACTCTTGCGCTTACCGTGGGCTTTCGACGGGGTTGACTTGGAAGAAGAAGCGTAGTTAGTGTCGTCGCTCGCGGAGGAATCGCCGTCAGAATCGATGTCATCCTGACGAAGAGCACGACGCACCAGCGCCTCATTTACAATTTCAGACGCACAGCGCGTCGCGCTAGCCTCGTCAGCCTTCTTCTTGTTGATGGGATCCATTTTATCGTCTATGGCAGCGTTCTCGAGCTGTACATACTGCCCCACCAACCCAGCCAATGTTTCGTAGTGGCTCTGCTCGTTGACGGCTTCAAGTGTTTCCTCGATTCCGCTTCCTAACGAAGACCGTAGTTCACCGGCATGCCAATTTTTTTTAGCAAGCGAACACGATCACGAACTTGCTTCTCTAAGACCAGTTCCTTGAAACATGCAACGCAACGCTAGCCCAGCCTCCCCGTACTTTGCTGCAAATGGCTTTTGGGCGATCGCCTCTCTCATGAGTTCTTTGTCGTGATCCTCCGTAAAGCGAAACACCATATTGCCGTCGTAGCAAATTTAGAAGTGGGCAAACATATAAAATTTACCTCATGAGCAGCTAAATTAAAGTAGCACTGCCATAAGGTCACGAAGAACAAGGACGGTTGGGCTAAAGCTAGTTCCGACAATTTGTCGATGGAGCTCACATATGACAGTCCATTTCAAACTGACACTGTTGTGCTAAAAACCTCTAATGTCAATATACCGGTAGTGATATCGTACCGTGCGCGCCAATTTGATAGGACCGCCGACTTTTGCTCACACTTTTGCGGATTTCTCAGTGTGTAGGGCGAGTTGAGAGGCACTGTTTAGATATGACACTATTACAAGCCCTAGCTACATGCTACTTGTGTTAACAAATGCAATTTTGTTTTTCTTGGTAGGGCTGGCATACAAACTGTCAATTTCTACCCCTTGCGCTCAGGACCATACCCTTCTTTTGTCAAAACGAACATTTTTATGAAATTCAATATAAACTTCTATATTAAAGTATCGTACTTTAGAAGACACAATGATTGGAGGAAGCAAGCACACTGGAGGCTTCCGCCGCCACACTGAGCCTTTCATTTTCGAATGGGCCGCGGAGCAGACCTCACAAAGGAGGAATATTGGTGGGTCATTGGACTACACGACGGTGGGGTGTCGTTACTTGAGAATTCGAGGACAACAGAGCGCTCACGACCAGCAGCCCGGCGCGCAATTAAGGCAGAGCGACGACTGTGGCGAGCCGCTGAGGGCAGGAAGACGACCCGTGCTGTTGGATCGAGACGTGCGGCAGCTTGTCCGTGCAGCTGCAACGGGCGACTACTTCGCGGCTGAGCTCAAGACCAAGTTCA